GAAGAAGAAAAAAAAGAGTCAATCAAAATTTTGTCATTATCAGAACTGAATTAATGTGACAGTACGAACACATTGCATCATGCAAACAGACAACAAGAAAGAGATTCTTAAGTATCACTGTCAATCACAATTATAGAAGCAAAAAAAAAAGAAATAGAATCTACTTAATAAATTCATTCATTACACAACATTATAGAATGCAAATGTAACGAACAATAGACTACTGATCGACAAAGACATTTTCTTTTTCTTGCTTATCACCTACTATTGTTTAATTAAGATGAAAAAGTAAAATGGTGATTTATGCTTAAATTCAAACATATAAAAGGTGCTCCTATAGCGATAATTGTCTATAACAAGCACTAGTCTCGACAACTTCTTTTATTAATTGTTCATTATGATTCTTTTTTTTTTTCTATATACATATTCAAAAGAAGTAAAACATAGTCATTTTAAAATGTGTCGATTTGACTGATTGTTGTTGGATACTGTTCATTGATGGTTACGAATAATAAGTGTGTACATGTTATATTCTACGAGTTATATGATGGCCAAGGAGAAGTGCAAATAAAATAAGACTCATTGTACATTGTACATTCGATGGAGAATGATTGTTTGATAACAAACGTTGCATAGCGCCTAAAAATAGACAGACAGATAGACATGACATATAAACAGGTGTAATTTCATCCTAGTCTACAAACAAAATATATAATTGTAATAAGCCCCATAACAAATTACGACATTTTGATTAAGAAATATCCTATAGCTGTTTGATTAGACGTCTTCTATAACAGATCAATACTCAAAAAGAAATAGATGTAGTCAATGATCTGTAAGAATTCTATTTTCTAGTCACAAAAGAAGACAGGATATGTCATTACTGAAGATCTTTATTAAAGAAAATCCTTGAGGAGAGAAAAAAAAAAAAATTTTCGTCAACTAACCTTTAACTACTAAAATTCTTGCACTTCGTCTTTGTCTTTTATATGTACATGTCCATAAACCTGAATGATAAGTTTGTGCATGTGGAATAATTAATTGTAATTTGGAAATATTTTTTTCATGTTGAATTTTTTCATGAATACCATCTAAATGATTGCTATAATGATATGTATTATCATAACTTGAAAAAGCCCATGTTATAGATGATGTATTTATATTATAAATCATACAATCTAATTCAACTTCTGAACCAGGTTCAACATATAAACGTGATGGTTGAATACTCATTGGTATTTGTATATATAAATGTATTTTAATTGATACACTACGACGACGATTCGATATTTTACATTCGTAAATACCTTCATCCGATAATTTTGTATTATAAATTTCTAAATTCCAATAGGAATTATCCGATGAGATGGAATAATATGTTACAGAATAACGTTTATCAGATAAAAATACTTGTTCACCAACTGTTAATGGTAAAAATGTTGAAGTATTACGATCATATTTAAGCCATGTTACATGATGATTACCCAAATTAGTAACATGACATGTTAAAATAGCTGTATCAGATAAATTTAATGTTTGATTATGTTGTCGTGTTAGAATTTGAGGAAAATCATTGGTATTAACAATTGCTGTCAATCCATGACTGATTAAGATTAGTAAAAAAACTAAAATATCGAAAATAAACATTGGGATAAAAGAGAGATGTTGATCCCGTTCACATTTATAGCTTTATAGACAACTATAGCTAATGATGATAAGGATCATTCTCATATAAAACAAATATTCATGACATTTTCATATGTGTATAAAGAAAAAAATGTTGACCTTTTTTTTTCTTGTTGTATGAGAATCAAAAGGATTAATTCACTTCTAACTTAGGTGTGAAATCAGAATTAGATATACTTGACAATAACAAAAAAATAGAATGAATTATTAATAAACTTACATGATATAGATAGTTGTCTTGTATTCATAATTAAATTAAATATTCATTATTCAATGTGGAGTAATACTACCTTTTTACTAATCGTTGCATGTCGTTTATTCTAAAAATGAATGAATGATTGAACGAATGGATAGAGGAGAGAAGGAAAGAGAGAAGAAGAAGAAGAGAGACAGAGAAAAAAGGATTATGACAAGCTGAGCAGCTTGTTCGTTCTCTTTTTCTCGTTTGTTTAAGAATAAATAAACGTTTGGATAATGGCATTACTTACTAGAAAAGAAAAAGATTATTCACTTTAGACTAAGCAGGTGTCGGCCTTTTATCACTTATCGATTATTGTGCGAAAATCAATAGAAATAGAGAAAAAAAGTCTGACACTTCTTCTTTTTTTTTGTTTCTACTTGAAAGAAAGAAAGATGATTAGGAAATCAATTCTTTGACTTGAATCTATTATTATAGATGATTGAGCAATCAATACTCGTTGTTTTCCTGAATATGATAATTGACCTTTAAATTGCGTAGACATGCTTAGTTAGGAAAAAAAAGACCTTGTTCTATGTATGAATTTTTATTATTTGAGTCTAAACATAAATCAAGTGACTTTTCGTTATTGTTTTTTCTTTTTTTTGACAATCAACACATTTGGTATCGATCCTTTGGTTATTCTTTTTTTATGTTCAATCTGGAATGCATTGATCATCATCATCATTGTCGACTAGGGAATGATGTTCTAACTTAAACAAGCTGTAGACGATGTGCTATCGAGCACAGTTTGAACATAATGCGATAAGTGAAACATCAACCGTGCATGCCCTCGCGCTACTACATACGATGATGGCAGCGGCAAGATGATATATATATAAACTAAACACATATATATATATATATCTATATACAACAGGCAATTTATTGTTATTCAGAACAAATATTACATCAGGTTGTGTCTGTCTAATACAAAGATATTTTCGTTTAACCGCCGACTGCCTGCCTAGTAGAAGATTCAAATAGACAAAGAAAAGAGACTACTATTTATTTGATGTTATTGATATAACAACGAATGTTATTGTGCTATTAAGAAGAAATTTTATGAAAATAGAAACAATAAATTATAACTATGACTATTTTTACGGATGATAGGTTAAGAAATAATGATCGATAAAAATCTCAAGTTGCTCATTCATTTATACGCATTAAATAATTTTATGTGATACATCTCAAATGATACAATAAACTCATCTATCTAATTCACTGTGACGATCTTTTAATATATACAACATTTCATGGAACTTAACGCAGTTAAATAATGGCGATCATGATGAAGTAATGTTTAGATGACTCAATCTGACAAAAACTTGATTATTCACATTATTTGTTTTACAGTTGTTTTATTCTTAAAAGCGACTTTTTTCAACAGATATACTTTTGTGAAAATTGATCATCAAATCATGTATTTTGAGAACATTTTTTTTTCTTCTATAAAGTGTTAACTTATAGAGAAATCATATCTGAACATTGATGGACAATACTATAATGAATTCTTTTGATGACAGAAAAAAAATCATCTATTAAAAATGTTAAATTACCTTTTCCATAAGATCATGTTAACGATCTGACAATTAATAATATCAAGTGAATAATATATATAAACGTTAGAGACAAAACATGATTCTGTTTCTCTCTTGTATTCTATCAAGATTCTTTTTAAGAAAAAGAAAAACAATGATTTGAAAAGAACGATGCCGCGAGATCGTCGACTAACGATGAATACTCACCCAAATGCGACTACATAAACGAATATTCGGAAGAGTTTTTTGTTATTTTTCTATACCAACTTGTTCATATATCTGTCGATGGCATATCTTCTGAAAAAGCTTATTATCACAAACAAAAATTATATATATGAAAGATAGATAGTTCTTTTATTCATGGTGAAATGTTTTGCAATAGAAACAATGAATGATCATTACACTCTTTCTTTAATATAAATTTTTTTATAATTATTTTAAAAACAGTGGATGTGTTGGATATGATATTCTTCGTGATTTATACTCATAACAAGATAGACTAACGGTTCATGGTTATTTCAACGATAAAATGCTATTGTAGTAAATATCTTCATACAAATATTTGAAACCATGTATTATATGAAGTAGATCAACACGTATTAATTGTATACTTCTTTGATAGATGAAGGTTTCTTGATAACATAATAATAATAAATATCATGGAGAACAAGAAGAATCATCTTGAAAAATCAGAATTTAGTTCCAATACAATCAGATACTTAACTAAATTAATTTTTTAACCTCTATAATCTGTATTGGCAATGTAATTTAAATGAAACCAGCCAATAAATCAAGTAAGATTCAATGTTTTCATTATACAATCATATTTCCAATGTATACCCATAATCGTTTATGGGAATGTAAGAAATTGAAAATTCGACGTTCACCATAATGAAATAAACCGCTCATTTAAATCTTCTATTATGTATGAAAATCGACTCAGATATATACATTCTAAAGTGTCATAAGGATATGATGATAATAATCTATTTGATTCTTTTGAAAGAATATCAAAAAAGAATTATGAATGTTTCTACAACATTGTTCTATAAATTCGTTATATCTTTAAGGAAGTTTACATCAATCATATTAAGTAGATATTTTTTCCTTTATTAATTTAAATTGAATATAATAGTGACTGACGTTTCGAACGCAATGCGTTTTTCAACAAAATTGCTGTAATAAAAGAAAAGATATTTACTGAATATGATTTAAATAAATAAAGTGAATTATTAATATGTTCGATTCAGGTCCAAGCTGTTGCAAAGTATTGTTGTCGTATTTCACCCTTTATATGCATATTAGTGGGTACCATCTGAAGGATTGAAGAAAATAAGAAAAGGTTATATAAAATATGACAAAGATAAACGAGAAAAGTATATCTGAACGAATTCCCGAGTGTCCGTGACACGTAGAACGAAATGACTTTGTCCCATTAAATCTAAATATATGTTTTCAAATCTATTTTTTTGTTTCTAGCATCGAAATCATTATTGAATTAGTTAGAAGTTAACAAATATCTACACGTATAAATGGAAAAACATACAAATAATATACTAATAACACAGTTTACATTCAAACGTCGATTACTACCAAGAATATGCATAAGTGTATTTATTCTTCTTTACATTTTTCCATCTCTTTATAAGGAGTTTTATTCGTATTCTTCGTCTAGTAAATTTCTTTCATTACAAACAAAGAAAATTTTTGAACATTTACAACCATTTTATTATCCAGTATCATGTCAAAAGCTATTTGAAAGTGATTCAAATGAGTTCAAATATGTTCAAACACTTTTATCAACTTCAAAATCTCAAAAAAATATTTCCGATAATCAATACAACATAACAAAAGAACAATGTGATATTTATCGTTCTGAACGATTTGATCAGTCATTTCATCATGAAGACATATTAATTAATCGACAGTTTCCATTAGCATTTAATATTCTCTTACATGATAATGTTCAACAATTTGAACGTCTTTTACGTCTTATATATCGTCCACAAAACTTCTATTGTGTACATGTTGATAGTAGTGCATTATGGAGTGTATTTGAAAGTGTTAAGTCAATTGTTCAATGTTTTGATAATATTTATTTAGTAAGTAAACGAGAAGAAGTTACTTATGCAACATTTTCACGTTTACAAGCTGATATTAATTGTATGAATGATTCAATAAAATATTCATCATGGAAATATCTATTGAATATAGCTTCGTCAGAATTACCATTAAAAACAAATAGTGAATTAGTTAAGATATTGTCGATCTATCAAGGTCATAATGATATTGAAGGAGTACGGGAAAAGAGAAATATGGAGCGAACTGATTATGTTTGGCAAACACTAAATAAGACTGGCGATCGACATGGATTCTATTTAAAAAATACAGGAATAAAAAAACAACCACCATCAGACAATTTACTAATTTTTAAAGGATCAGCTTATGGTATAAGACAATATTTTTGATATATTCCATTGATTCTATGAAATATTTCAGGTGCTTTTTCTCGTGCATTCGTTGAATTTGTTCTAACAAATGAAGTAGCAAAACGATTGTTGGAATGGTCACGTGATACATATAGTCCAGATGAACATTATTGGGCAACATTAAATTACAATCCACATTTGAATACTCCTGGTGGTTATAAAGGTATGCAAATAAATGAAATAATCACTTAAAAACATAGATCTCATTCTTAAATGTTAGTAAAGTTACATATATCTTTTGTTTTTATCATTTTAGCAAAAACTGATCCAGCTATTTGGACTGGTCGTTATGCTAACTGGGGTGAAAGTCGATGTTATGGACAGATAATACGTGGTGTTTGTGTATTTGGTTCTCTTGATTTACCATCTCTACTCAATCGACATGAGCTGATTGCTAATAAATTTTATTTACATACTGATCCAATTGCTTATCAATGTTTAGAAGAACTTATTTTTAATAGATCGAAACTTGATTTACCATTAAATGATGCAACATTCTATCGGCGAATGCCGTTTTTATTGCCATCCTAATTTGTTTATAGTTAATTATTTATATGAGTTTATATCTATTATTTCTTGATATTTAGTGAATTAAATCTCGATTAATTTTTTCTGTTGACAGTAATTATATGCCTATTCCATATAGATTTATTATCATCCTAGAGAGAATTTCTCGATTAAAATTATACAAAACATTTTAGTTTTAGTGTAATCAGTAGAAGAAAGTCATATAAGTACCTTCTGTTACTATTTTCAACATTGAATATAAAACAATACTATTGAAAGAAATGCTAAATCATTTTTTGACAATGAGCAAATAGAAAGTTGCGGAAAATATGATCAAAATCATATCATTATGTTGTTGAGATATTTCTCTGTAGTATTATTCATAGTGCTTTTGTACTCAGTGAAAAATATCAATGCAAGAATCACGATTATTTTAATCTATAGACGAAATAATTGGATTAATCAGCTCTAGAATAATCATTGTCTCAAGATTATAACTGATAAACTAATTTCTAATCTGACTTTAATTCAGAATTACTAATAATCTTTCAAATCTCATAGAATTTTATTAAAGATTTCGAATAAATGAGATTTATATTAATAATCTATTATAATTTCAGGAATCGATTAAAATTAATTACGTTCTGTTAACATATCACCATTACTCGGTAGTTGTTTTCTATTTTTTTTTCCTTTTTCTTGTTAACAAATGCACAATTATATAATTGATGAAGATCATCATACAGTCATCGTATTATGACACTAGATAAACAACATTATTTTTCCTATCAAATTAATAGAATCACAATGATGATCATTACTTCATCGAATAGAACATCACACAATCAAAATCTGGAAATATATTGCTTGATGTTTTTATCGATTATTCACAAAAAATTATTGAAACTGAAAAATAACTTCGAGAATCAACTAACTATTTATTCGCAATTACGAACCATAAATAATGCCTCTAATATATTAAATCTATAGCCAATGATAATTCATTCATCTTGAGAATACAGGTTAGTAGTTGTATTTAGGCGTGACATGAAAAGTATCGTATCGATCTTTCGCTCACACTTATACTCGAAGTCAATATCTTCTCCAATTTTTAGAATGTGAAACTTAAATCAATCAGTTTTAATCGATCCAAACAAATTCCAATAGAACTATACCTTGCTCTTATTGAATTCTGTAAAACAGAAACAACAAAGTATAAATAATGTATACATTCTAATATATATAGTCAAAGATAAAACAACCTATTGTGAAAACTGTTTCTATTTATTATTTGTTCAATAAAAAGACTGGATGAAAGCTGTTTAATATCATAAATAATGGATGATACTTATTGAAAAACAATAGAATAATACCTACAAAATGATTATGAATCTTTTGAAACGTTTTATAGTTATTGGTATACCCCTTTGACTTCCCTGGCATAGGAAAAGCTACACCTGTTTTTTTTATATTTCTCATAATGTAATTCATAAAAATTAGCACATAATCTTTTGAAAGGAAGTAATAGAGAGTGTTCTAGGATCTTTTCGAAATACTTGTGCCATATACGCCGCCTTCACGTCTTCCATTTTGCTCTTCTCTTGTTCTGAATATTATAATTCAAATGACAACGAAGATCAAATCTTTATCAACTCCATTATTAGCACATATGCCTGTTGCTGGACCTAAAGAAACGTGTGAATATTGCAGTACTAAAGCTCGTCCGACATTTAGTAACATAAAATACAATTTTTGTGGTATCTCTTTATGTGTAAAACAGCATAAAAGCTGTTTTTTGTTATTTCATGAAAACACTATAAGTTTTGCAATTAATAAACTTCAACAGTTAAAATTTCCGCTCAGCCTAATAGAGTTCAATGTAACTTACATTGCGCAAATCGACTAATCACCTGTGAGAACACATGAAATATGTCTAACATATACTCATATGTCTAGAAGAAGCTAACCCAACGATTTACTTGAATTCAATCCAACAAAAAATCATTCGGAAGTCAAAGGGATACGTATAGATGTAAAAGATTTCATGTGTTATTAAATTCATTATTTATTCTGCTTAAAATTATAGAATCAACCCCTAACACAATATTACTTTAATCATTCAAATATAATTATGAAAAACAATATTTATTTTCTCAAACATTATGATCTATTTTTTCTTTATTTACTGATGAAGAAATAGCTGTATATTATTGAACTTTGTAAGATAATGGTATATATTAGGCAACAAAATATTTGATCAGTTCAAAGAATGAATGATCAGTATTTAGACTACCAGTAGATAATATGAAAGTGATCAGTTTTTTAAATACACTACCAGTAATAAAATCATCTTTTAGCAGTAAAAAGTAAAATTTTGATAAGTAAGAAAAGAAAATTCGATCAGTGAATAAGATGAAGTTACCAGTAGAAAACCTATTTACTCATGAAGTATAATAAAGAACAAAAAAAAAGGAATAGAAATAAAGAAATCTTCGTTTTCTTTTGCTGTTGATTGGGATTGCTTTTGCTGTTACAGATGGTTTACAAATTTTCAGACGAATAGCCATTCCAACCATATTTAATCTTTAAGAAAAGCCGGACAACTACATTTGGATGTTTTCCAATTCATATCATCCATCATTTCTAAACACCAAACATCATATGACTTTTCGAACAGTTGAAGCGTGTCCATTTTTGTTTACTGCATCTTTTTAAATCAGTTTGAGAAATAGATTGTAAATTACGTGCTGATATATATTATTGTTTCGAAACATCATTTTGAATACATATAATTTCTTTAGTAGTTTTAGCCCATTGGTCTGAAGAAGTCCATAGTCGTAGATATTGTTGACTCTGTAGTAAATACTTTAACATTTGTTGAAGATAAATCACGTTCAATAGACCATAATGATCAACTATAGTTGAATTGATTGTCAAAAATCTAGATAAGACGTGACGCTCTCTAAATCATTATCATTTGTTTCCATTTCATCATCTAATGATTCGCTCATGTCTGGAACAACTTTTTGTCTATTCGTCATCTTCTGTATTATTTAAATTAAATTTATCTAGTCAGTATTTTATAGTGAAATAGAGAAAGGAAGAAAGTCACACAGAACGCAAAAGAAAGTAACAAAGAAAACAAACGACAAATCGAACACACTTTATTATCTATTTCGAGTTTTCCACTGATTCTTCAGTATGACTAACTGTTAAAGTATTTCATTTACTGATCGTATAATTTATTACAGCATGTTTTTATTTAATAACGGATCATATGCTTAGTTTACTGATCGTTCAATCTATTTACTGATCGATTAAATCCTAGCCTATAAAATGTGACAGATAAACGAGGAAAGTACATCTGGACGAATTCCCGAGTGTTCGTGACACCTAGGACGAAATGACTTTGTCTCATAAAATCTAAATATATGTTTTCATATTATTTTTTTTATTTCTAGGATCGAAATCATTATTGAATTAGTTAGAAGTTAACAAATATCTACACGTATAAATGGAAAAACATACAAATAATATACTAATAACACAACTTACATCCAAAGGCGGATTACTAGCAAGAATATGCATAGGTGTATTTATTCTTCTTTACATTTTTTCGTGTCTTTATATGGAGTGTTATTCGTATTCTTCATCGAGAAAATTTCTTTCATTAATAACAACGGAAAATAATACAAAGAAATTTTTTGAACATTTACAACCATTTTATTATCCAGTATCATGTCAAAAG